TGTCATTTTAGAGGGAGTGTGATATAGGGATCTCAGGGCTAAAGGAGTGTGGTTTTGTGGATGGGGAAGACGGTGCCGAGCATGAAGGGCCAGATTTTTTGAAGAGACGTTTCTCTTTAAGTGTCTCCTTCAATTTTTGCAACTTTCCGCTTTCTCGAATGATGTCTCATACTTTAATTTCTGTTGCCGAAGAAAAGTAGCCCTTAGAACTTGTAGAGGGAATGGGATGTCTGTGTCTTTATCCTTAGAAGCTTCTGTGAGACGATGTTCCGCTCCCCGGAGCTTCTCTCTAGCCTTATTAATGCCCTGCCATTCCCACTTCCCCTTCTCCTCAAGCGCACAAGCAGCGAACAAAGGTTTCCGGGTGGGTGAGATCTTTAGTTTTGAGGTCTCGGCAGTTTGCGGCTTCGCAGTCGGCAGGCGTCGGTAGCAGTACGTCCCACATGAAAAAACATTTTTCTTTAATGACTCTCAGCGGTTTAACTCCCAGGGACGTCAACTATTTTATGACGGTGGAGCGACAAAATTTGCACGAACGCTTGTCCACCACAAAGACTGACGCAATTCTTATTTCACCTTTTCGTAGTTCCACGGGGTTTGTCAGGAGACCATCTTCTGTGATGAGATGAGCGTAGATCTTCACTTTCTCCAGGAAGTCCCTAATGTTGATAATGCATTTCGGCGGAGACTTGCGGCAAGAGGCAGTTTCCCTGACGACTTCTTTGTCTTTATTTTTTTTCTGTTGTATTTGTCCCTTCTGATTTTTGTTTTTTCTCAGCCACCATACTTGTTGGGGTTTTCCTCGTTTTTTTTTCCTCCATTTTAGGCCACCATAGTTTCCTTGTCTTTCATTTTGGTACTATCTTCGTTCGGCTTGGTAAAAACTTTCAGCCACAATTTCTTTACTTAGGTCAATAGGCGTCTTGGTATTTTCCGCTTTATCAGGCGAGACTTTCTTGGGACCAAATAGATTCTTCTTGATCGACCTGCTTCGGCCAACCATTCTTACTGATGAGATATTAAAATTTTTTTTAAGAGTAAATCTAAAAATATATTTTTTCGAAAAAGAAAAATCTTGGTTCAGTCCAAAAATTGTTGGACGAAAAAAGTAATATATATATATATATAAAAACAGGGAAACAGAATACGTAAAAAATCTTACGCTTAAGTTAAAATGGCTGAGGTTACACGAACAAAAAATCAAGTCTTTTTAAAAAAAATAAACTAAAAATAAAACAGTGGAAATATAGACACAAAAAGTAAAAAACAAACAAACACGGAACTCCTTCAAAATGAAGAAAGATTTAACAAATATAACACAACAAAAAATTGTTTCAAATAAAAAAACAAGTAGACGTGCAAAAATAGAAAAAAGTGATATATAAACAAAAAAATCTATTTTTTTATAATACAACAGCAAAGGAAAAAGGAAAACAAAATAAGTAAAATAACAAGTCTAACAATTAAACCAAAATGGCCGATGTTACACGAAAAAAAAAAAAACGTTTTGCTAAAAAATTAAGGAAATTACAAATAAAACAACGGAAAGATAGACAGGAAAATAAAACAGAAGTTATTAGAACTGTTTAAACAGATAAACGATTTAACACGTAAAAATATACAAAGATAAACAAAAGTTATTAGAAAGATAAACTGAAATTAATATCGGAGGGAATACAGAAAAAAGTAAGTTCTATATAAGCAGAAATGATAATGTAAATGAAAAGTCCTATTAAAATTAGGTGTTAAACAAAGATAAAATAAAAACTGGGAGAGGGTGAAAGAAGAGCTAAAAAGAAAAAATTTAGTCAAAATAATGAGCAAAAAGTAACGTAAGAAGATTAAAGTTTTAAACTTAACACAGACTTCAGAGACCAAAACAAAAATTTCAAGATTAGTACAGCAAAAATAAAGTTAAAGTCAAAGTGCTGGTCAAAATGGTCGGTGAAACAGAAAACCTTTCATTTAATCCCGTTTCCTCTGTTTAGACTTGACAGTTTTATACTCCAATGTGAAGTAAGATAGCACCACTCATATTCCGAGGGTATTCTGGATTAAAATAAATCCCTGTGTATATTCTGGTTTGAGGTTAATCTGGGTTGATACCTCATTCTGGGTATCGTGAAAAATACTATTAATTACATGGTTAATGTCATAAAGTTAAAAATGAGTAAAATAGCAAAAATATGTCCGAATATTGAAGGATCAATGAAACACGAAGGCAACATCCCAATAATCCTAACAGCAAGACTGGAGATCCAAGGTAGTGTCGAGACCTCTTCAACAATCTTGATAAAAGTGATGCTGACTGAGGAACCCTTTTTCTATTCAATTTCCAGCGACAATCACTAAATTCATCTGTTGGGAGAATTCAGATGCGTAACTATTATGAAAATTTCAGTCAATTGTAGCAATAAAATTGCGTATTAAATCTGAGTTGTTTTTCAAATAAATATGATTTTCATAATTATTGCCATAATTATAGTCATCTGTCTGTTATCACTGTAATTAAAATGATCATCCTGATTATTGTCATCTTCGTCATAGACTAAATAGGAACTGCTTGATGGCCGTAAGTACTAAAACGATCGCTTAATTAATTGCTAATGAAGCGAAAAAAGTTTAATGACAAAATAAATTGTGGCATAAATAGCAAATGAATTTTTATCTTGACACGAGAATTTTGAATTGTACTTCATTGAAAAGATATAGGACTGGATATCCAGAAATATCTTCTCATGAAGTTTATAGTCGATATTCTACGAGAATGACTAAGCATTTTTGGTAAACTAGTATAAAACTAATAAAAAGCATTTACACGTAAAAAAAATATTTGTTTTTCAGAAGGGACTCTTAAGTGTTGTTGTTATTATTAAATCTTATTTCTAAATTGTTTGAAGACAGACAAACCGATAGAGAAATTGACAAAAAGGAAGAGAAATATACGTAAGCTACCTTCGGGGAGCAATAACGGGGGAGCTACTATCACAAATAATTACGTGAGAGTTGGTTCCCTGTTCGGTATCAATGAAAATAGCCTTGTTATAGAGTTGGATTTGTAGTAGGACAACTTAAAAACATCGCCATCACCATCACTACAACTACAATGACAGTGACGACACAAACATTACTACGAGGTAGTCAATAAAAATAAGGAGTAGGTAAATTAAGTATAAGTATTGTTCGTAATTTCAGAATTCAATAGTGGTAGATCCTCTGGTATGATATGCGAGTCTCGTTGTAAGCCATTTCTTTGTCCCAAATGATCATAATTTCACATGAAGTTTTGGATAAATATACAGGTTGCCCAATAAAAAGCGGCAAATTTATTTTCACTGTTTTATCTTGCAGGAATAATTGATCTTGAATAACCTTGAATAAATTTCTTGAATATTCCTGACCTTGAATTTGACTGTCACGTAATTACTTAACTCTGATTGGTTCTTTTATGATGATTAATTACTGTCGATCTTGTGACTCGTCATTTAAAGGTTATTTGCAGACAGCTTCCGTCTTTCATTCTGGCCTTCTCGTATGGTTAAACAACTCACTGATTTTGAGCGCCAAGTTATCATACATTGCAAAGAATATTCGACGTATGGATTGACGAATGTGCAGAAATTTTCCTGAATTTTTCAGTCACATCAGTGGTCACAAGTTTTCAACAGTTGTCTTACGTCTTTCTGAATTTACCGCCTTTTTTTTTTTACTGGGCACCCTGTATATCAACCAAAATTTTGTCATTAAATAAAAGGCGAAAATACGAGTGAAAAACTCTGAAATTTGTGGCTTTATACTCACCGGATAATACGTTTTAATAACTTTTTTTACGCAAGAAAAGAAACCTTATTTTAAAACTGGCTGAAAATTTTCAAGTTTAAATTTGGTTTTATATATTTAAAATCGCTGACATGCATGCATGGTAAAATTCTTTCTGTCAACTTAAATCTGTAAGGTGATCAGAAAAGACTTAGATAAATTTTTTTGTAAACTTCTAACTTCATAAAACCAAGAAAGTAGAAAGATAGAAAATGATCTTTATTGATAATGGCATAAACAATTAAACGTTTGTAACGTTACGGAAGAACTAATATAATGAATCTCATATTTCAAATTTTGGTTTCAGACACTTTTCGATTACAATTAGGCCGGCGTCAGAAATTCATTTTCATCTTTCCTGTTGTGCAAATAAAAACGTATGCCAATCAGACAGTCAGCAACCAGTAACATCTCGACATTAACTTTTAATATCATCAAGGTGTGAAGAGTTCCAATTTAAAAGCCGACACTTATTTAATGGATAACCTCCTTCTCTCAATTTTCCTTTTATGTCAACAAATTAAATTTTCCTTTTGTGGTCTCGTATTTTTTCTATACTTTTTTTTTTTTTTTATTAATTTTCTCTCGTCATTATGTGAGATTCTTTTTTTGAGGTCAATTAATTTACATAATTTTTCTTTCTCTTGTCTTTTCGTTTTGTTTTTTTTTCTTTCTGTGCATCATTTTCGTTTTCCATCATCACCAGCGTTTCATGATCTGTGACTTTGGGCTGATCTATGATCTTCAACATTTAACACACTCCCTTAAGACTTCTGTGGCAAACAAAAGAAAAGTAAACCAATTACTGAGTGCATTTTCTTTCTCACACACTCTATAAAGAGAGTAGAACTTATCGATTTAAATGAATATTTTTTTAGTCTATAACGAATAAGTAGAAAATAGTCATTTTTTCGTATTATCTTTTTAAAACAAGTATACTCTGGATGTTGATGAAAGTCCTTATTAAAATAACAGGATAGTAGAATAATCAATAAGTAAAAAGTGAATAGATATTTTTTCAACCATTTGGTTGGAGGTGCAAATAGATCGGTAAATTAAAAAATTGCTTTTGAAGGTAGACTACGAAAGTTAAACACAAAAAAGAAAATCTACCTTTTTCTCGGCTACTTTTAGATCTTGCAATAAAGGAATTACCTGCTATTAACCTTTCTTTACATTAGAAAGTAAAAATCTATCTATCTATCTATCTATCTATCTATCTATCTATCTATCTATCTATCACAGTCTTTGCATATCTAACTTTCTCTCACTCTGTTCTTATCTTTTTCTCGCTCTGTTTGTATCTATCTATCTATCTATCTATCTATCTATCTATCTATCTGGGCACTTTGGCGGAGTGTAGTTATTAGTAAGGTTGTCTCGCTGGATTAACTATAACAGAGTATTGTGTTCGACCCGACTGGGTTTTCCATACTTTTGGCCTTATGCCACATCTAAGCCTCGCTTTGTATATAGCACAGTCTTTGCATATCTAAATTTCTCTCACTCTGTTCTTATCAATCTTTCTTTCACTCTATTTTATCTATCTATCTATCTATCTATCTATCTATCTATCTATCTATCTATCTATCTATCTATCTATCTGAAACAGGTTCAAGCTACTTCACAATTCCTTACGTATTTTCTCCGAGATAATTACAAAAGCCAACACCCCCCCGTAGTAATCGCAGTGAAGTATTTTTTTTGTTTATTTACTTACAAACACGCAATAAAAACCGCTCATTTTATTGCATTCACAAACATGGTTCTTTATCATCTTTATTCTTTCTCTCTCTCTATCTCTCTCTCACTCCCTAATGTACATTCATTTACTTATTCCTATTTCCTAATCTGTTTGTTGATAGATGTTTAATATTTGTACGTTATTTAGAACGAAGATTTACTTTTAGAACTGTTTCTGTCTTGTGTGCTTGATCATTCGCACAAACCTTCATCTGTCGGATGCATTTGACATGATTTGTCATATATTTTGAACTAAAGAAAAATTAGAATGATTTGATTTCTTTCATTATATATGTTTTCTTTCTATTTCCTGTGTCGGTTAATAAAAAAAGAAATGGAGGACTGGCTATGACGTAGAGCATTAAATGTCATTCTATTTCCTTTCTCCCACTCACAAACATTAATATGAAGCAAAAAACATCACGCACATATCTACACATACACTATATCGTAGCTAAGATAATTGCGTCGACCTGTACTGTAGTTAAAACAGTTGTGTTTTTTCCATTGACTATAAAAATGTAAGCTTTCTGAATGGTGATTCTGAATGCAGAAGGGCCATATTCACTTGGAACATTGAATCTTTTTTGCCTGCATTTATCTCAAGTAAAGTGTAATAATAAAAGTATTAAAGTAGGTTCATACTCTGATCGCAGCACCCAAGCAGTACAGAAACCTTTGTTCCAGGATGCTGGAAAAAATAAAAATAAAAGATGGTCGAAATCGGAACAATGATCCCCGAGTTAAAATTCTAGCATCTTTTAGCAGTGTGCGCTACAACAACCCTTTTGTGCCAAAAGAATCAGAGCTCAAAATCAAGAAAGGGGATTTCTAGACGAATGCTTCATCTAGTTAAATTTATAGTTGGACCCATCTACATTAATATCTGGCGACGTGTACTTAGTAACATGATTTCACGACATTTTTTTTATCTTTGATTACGTTAGCCATGGATCACATTTTTATGACATATTGCTGAACATATCACAATAGGATCTTAAATATTAGAAACGATGATAATTTCGATTTATTGTCATCATACATGTTACTCCTTCCCATTTGCGAGATCTAGTCAACACACATCTTCCTATCCTCATTTATTTCTATTTGTCCATGTAACAGACTAAGCTAAGCATATTATAGGCCTAGAGTGAGTGACAAGAAGTAGACGATATTAAATCACATAGCAGTTTTAATTTTGTGTCGCTTCTTCAGTCGAATAATAATAATAATAATAATAATAGTAACAGAGATAATACCCTGATGCTTCAGGCATGGCTCTCCTGGCTTCTGCTCTTAATTTAGTGTACTTATATAGAGTGAAAGCGTGTGAGAAAGCGGAGAAATAAATAATTTTCAAACACGGTTCAACAAATTTAAATAAATCTTGTAAAAATCATTCAAAATGAAAGAAACGTATTACAAAGACCTCTTTAAAACAAATTCACACAAGAATATTTTGTTTTTCTTTCTTTACAATAGAGGCTAATCAATTGCATTAGTGTAATAAAAGAAACAGAATGTGTCTATATAAGGAGAGTATCACGTATTTACGTTGTTTTATGAACGTGTGTAATTTTCTAGTAGTCAGTATGTCAGCAGACAAGAAGGCTGTATTATGACTTTTACTAGCGTTCGTATGTTTCAAGTGTGCATAATTTACTTTAAAATCGCTGTGCTTTGTAAGAAGTTACTTGAATAAAATATGTGAAATTTTGAGTAATAAATTATACGAAAGTTTTTGAGAATTCAGCTTGTCCACAACAACGAACAACCGATACCGGTCAAAGGTTTACAGAAAAACTGAAAACTAAAAGTAACTTAACTCCCCGAATATTTATAAGAAATAGATAGGCTCGCAGAAGCTAAAAATTAGCTTAATAAACTCAGAAGTTTAATAACGGTTAATAAATATTTTTCACAATTTTTAAGTATTTATTTTTAGGAGGGAAACTATTGTTGATCATTTTCTGGAACGACCTATCAAATTTCGTAGAAGAGGATAAACAACTTTGATTTTTGAAAAGTTTCAGCGCGTTTGTAATAATGCCGTCGATTGGTTAATATATGCATATATGGAAATTCAAACTGGAGTCACTTTTTGCGCAAAAATGAGTTAATTTTGCGCTTTAGTAATATTACTTAAAATCTATTTAAATTTTCTACAATTTTTTAACTCGGTTCCACACATGTTTTGTATTATTGAATTAAAATGGACTATAGTAAATATCCCGTTCTATACCACATATTTACTTGTCAGTTCCTGACCTTAAAGAGTTGAGCCTATTCACCAGGAGCTGATGGAGAGTGCATCTTTATTAATAGGCAGGAATAATCAGGGAGCATCATGGCCGTGTGTCAAGACGATCGTTTTAAGTTTGAATGATGAAGCAGCGAAGCAGATGAATAAAACAAGTGGTTGCTCCTGAAATTGCAAGCAGGTGTTAAACCCAGGATGTGCATACGTGGAACAACGAGATGATATATAAGGACCTCATCCGAGATGAAAAGACAGAGAGCTTCTAACATCCAAGCGAAAAGAAGTTCCTAAAGCGGCACATCCTTACGCCGATATTAGTCCGGAAGTAAAAAAGAGAAACAATAATTTTACGTATAAGAGATTGTAATACAAGAATAAAGTGTTGCTCCCGTCACATGAGTTTCAACATAAATCCCCACTGAGTAAACACAGGCGATTCCATTATTGAATTAAGTAGACCACGTGACCATAGAGGAAACGCATATATGTAGGAAATAGTTGACGACGAAGGATCGCTATTTCTGCTCTATCCACTATTACTATTCGGATTGCCATTTCTACACTATCCTCTATTACTATAGGGACCGTTATTCTCTACTCTATTCACTAAACTATTTCTCTATTCAGATCACAATACGGTAGTTACTTTTCGAGCGAGTATTATCGAGCAAGTACTATTAATGCGAGTGCTATTCGAAAGCGTCTGGCACCAGTATTGTTCAACGGCGTTACTATAGTTGTATCTGCGATTACAAAGTCTCTGTTACAACGAGCATTACGAAAAAGATTTAGTATCTTGACTTGATATTTCAATGCCAAAGTTCTTACGTTTCATACAAGCATAAAGCGCTATAAACTTTTTGTTGAAACTTGACTAATGCATGGAATAATAATGCAACACAAAATGTACTTAGAACAAAATGTATTGAAACAAGAAAGTGTACACAATATTTACATAGAGTCTTTTGTATATTCCTGGTAAGACCGTTCCTGGAGAATGTGTTGACTGAGTCGCAGTCGGGCAGAGTCTCTGGTTGAATCTCTTGATTCCTCCCTCTCTTCCCGGTACCAACCATATTTATATGGTCGGTACTCCACTATGCAAATTAAGTGGATCCTACCACAACACTTTTGGACTTTACTATTCAGTAAACGGACCAATTTATACAGGAAGATTTTCCTGAATTCTGTTTTATTTGCAAAGATGTTTTATTCAGCTGATTTTTGTTCTATTATCCAGAAAATCAGGTCGACTTATACAAGATGTCTATGAATTATGAATAGATAATAGATAAAATTTGAAAGTGACTTTAAAATCATTGAAACCTAAGGATATAAAATGAAAAAAAAATACTTATTTTAACTTGAGCAACGTTTAATTAGCTAAATATTACTTATTTTATTGCATCAGGATTGTTCACTAGGCACTTGATGAATTTCTTAACACTGTCTATTTGGAGAGATTCTCAAAATTATTCTCCGCTAATGCTTTAGGATATTCTCTTGAGCCGATAACACATTCCTAAGTAATCGAGAGAAATACTTTTTCATAGAATGAGTAGAACGCAGAAGACGTGCTTTATGGAAATTGGTTCAATTTTATATCAGCTTTTCTCTCACTTTTCATTCTCGATTTTAATTTAAACCAAATGTAAGTTGCCTTGAAGACAAATTGAGCGTGTCTCTTATTCGAAGTAAAGATAAAGAATATTCGAACGAGATCCTCTCCCATATGAATCGTGTGGACAGAAAATATTTCGCAGCAATATACTGTTCATTTAACTCATTGTTTGATACTTATTATTATTATTAGTTGTATTGAGTGAGTGAGCAACACGCCAACAAAATGAAGCTGTGGTACAAATATATAAAGCTCAATACACCCATCATTACAGTTAAATGTTCGCGATATTGTGAGAGGTATTGTTAAAATCAGTGCAAAACCCTGCAGGTGGAACCCTGTTATAAATACCTTCAATTTGAGTAACCCTTTTCGTTATGACTGAGAGTGTTCCCAAGTATGTAAATGCGATTTCCAAGTCACTTTAACTGCTTCATCCTTCAAAAAAAAAAAAAATCTCAATAAATGTTCATGATTTCTCCAATCTACTACCAGTGATGAACAGATAAATATAAATTTGTCATTTTGGCCTTTCAGAAGCTGTTTCTAACAGGTTGCGTACTCTTGCAGATTGCATTGTCTTCCAAACTGAGACGTGTTAACTTTGTATATAAGTTGGTGACAGTTGTCAAAATAGTAGATGCTGTTATCTGAGGCATTGTAAGTTTCTACGTATAAGTCTCCCACAATTCAAGGCTAAAAACTCTAGCCTACCAAGGATTTTTGTTTTGAGTTTTCCTTCTTGGTTGATAGAGCTCTCAAGTCCAACCTACTCAGCAGCGTTTTGTAGTTGTAACACCAATTTTAATTCCATTAGTTAAAATGATGGTTCCTTTTATTCTATGCCATTTCCGTTCAGGGCGTAGACGACCATGGCTCTCCACGGATTCTTTTTCTTTATAATCTACAAATTGCTATGATTTCTTGGGAAATATAATGGAGTGGTTTATCGCTGCCTTCTGTACAGTTTTGAATACAGAGTTATTGTCCGTCTCCTGGACTGGGAACCAAGACATGTCTATCTTGCTATATAACCCAAGCCTTTCTCAAAAGTGCCAATTGAGCCCAACATATAAGGCACAATTTGATTTCATCTAATGCATAAGTTGATATCCACATCTGATGGTTTCATTAGGCATAAAAACGTCTGAATGACTTGTTTTATCCTCGGAAAAACATTTTGATTATACTGACGGTCCTTAAGTTTGAATAAGAAAACGTTTCAATAATTGTATTGTACCGCTCGAAA